AATTTTGTTAAGATTAGCTGAGTTCGTAACGTTGGAGCAACATATCCAAACATTTGGAAATGTTATAAAAGATGAGCTAGAGATCAATAGTTTTAAATACAAGCTAGAGTGTGTAATTTTAAAAGGGCTTTTGAATCCCTAGATTTGACTGAAAATAAATCCCTACTTCTATTAAAGAGCCTCCTAAATTGGAATTGAAATCTTTTTTCTACCCATGTAAAGTGCGTGCATAATATTAGCTAAAAGGAATGTGTAAGAATTCAATAGATATAATCCAAAACACCGTGAAATTTGAATCTGAGAACTTGAGATCAAAAAAAAAACTAATGCCCAATAGGCTTGAAGACCAAGAAGCTTACATAAAAACCACACACAGCAATCATTCTGGGTAAAAGAATTACTTCCACTATTAAGTAGCTAAAGTAGATTTATATACATAACTAACCAAACTGTTAACACTTCTAATTTGAACAAGCCGTTGCAAAGAGGATGGGAAGTAGCCGGAAAATAGCCTTCCTTCTCGTCTACAGGGAGACGAGAAATTTCTTCAAAAGTATTTCTTGTTTATATGCATCAAGACTTCCAATCACTTCATAAATCAGTAACGAAATATGAAACTGTTCTAAAAGAGCGAAAAACAGCTAATGTACACACATGCACAAGCAACTATGATTGTCAAACCCTTCGACTTATAAACACAGAAAACTATTCACACGTCAATGGAAATTTGATTCCTTGGTGTGTACACATGAACAGAAGCATCAAGGACCAAGACTCGAGGAACAGCACATACCTACCTAGCCCAAAAGATCCTCATACTTCTGAATGATAATATTACTTGCTGATCAGAACAAATAAATGTCCCATGTTGCAAAGACACTCCAAGTCTCTAATCAATAGACACGTTAAAAACAGATATAGCATTTCTACTAGATATTCTCTGATATCTAAACAGATACACTTTCTAGAGTTGCAGTATCTGGGAAATGGTTTGCAGAAGAAGAAAAATTAAAATGAACTACAAACTGATAAGATAGCTCCAAACTTGGCAGAAGGTCAGGCTATCAACTGAAAGTTTGATGTTTATCACAGGAAGGACGACAAGAAATAAGATCGGCAGGCATATGGAGTCAACTCAAGGATTCAAACTTAACATATTATGAGATGGCGGACTATCCTTACTTGGGATTCCTAAGAACAATGATGACAGAGTCTCCTCTCAGAAACATCTTACTGATGAATCTGTCCTTGTTAATAGGTTGAGCCTTTTTCTTGCCCTTCCCAGTTTTTGGTACCTAGACATTGTAATTATACATGAGATACGTAACTCACCAGTCTACAATACTAAGCAAGGAAAAGAGTAAGCACACATCAAGAAAACAAACCTCAGTCCACATCTCTCTAACATTTTCCAGAACCATATTACAATGGCGATCGAAGGCCCTTACACGTCCCAAAAGCTTCTTATTGTTGCGACAATTTATGAGTACCTGTCGAGGGGGTCCAAAACATGAGGGTTTTTACCTAAACAGTTCACCTGCGAATTACAAGGCACAACTCTTTAACACACACAAACAAAGCATACCTGTGTGTTATTTTTAACACTCATCATGAGAACTGAAAGTGGACCAGTGTTAAATTCCTCTTCTTCATTCTTGTTAGTCTGCAAAGGATTCGAAGTAAGTACTTCCTAATGACGTTCTAGTAGCACTTCAGTAAAGATCTTGCAGTCTAACCCCCCCCCCCCCCCCCCCCCC